ATGTGATTTATAGCCAGTTGAAAAGGCCTACCAGAAAGTGGTTGTTGAGATGACTCATGGTCGGCTTTGAGAGAGAGGCAGAGTGGCAGGTTCAAGGGCATTATAATCCTAGTTATGTCCAGCACGTTCATGAAAGTCTTTAAAGAATTAGAAACGACCTTTCTAAGCCACAAGATGAGACAAAGTCGTGAGGAAGAGCCAACACACTGGGTGAAGCATCAGAACTACAAAATAACCCTCAAGGAGGGAAAAAAGAGGTACAAGGGTGCACAGCACTGCATTTGGTCAAGTCCAAGACAGGATGGAGGAAGGTTGCCCTAAGAGCAGAGCTTTCCTTGGACTACAAGCCACAGTGTGATGGGATGACAAAAGTTAACACAATCTTAGGATGCATAAACAGAGTACCAGAAGACCCCTACTGCCCTGGTCACGCATAGCTAGAGGACTGTGTTTTATCAAGGCAGCATCAGATGGAACCTCTAGCCATCGTGTGAGGAATGGTGGAAGGAGCGGCCAAGAGCTCCCATCTACCCTCAAGCTTTCCATGGGACACTCCTACCTCCTGCCTGACCTGAAACTTGGATTTCCCCAAATAACCTTTCCACTTGGCTCATTCTCCAAGGTCACAAGATGAGCCAACTCCTCTTCAGAAGTTCTTCCACGTTTACCATGACCTATGGACCTCCAGAACGTTCCTCCTTATTGGTAATTGGCTCAACATCTTGCTTCTTGAGATGACTCATGGTCGGCTTTGACTTGTACCAAGTCCTACCAAATCCTAGGAGAGACTGTCATTCTCACTGATGATCCACCACACCAGAGCCCACCCCCATTACCAAACCACAGCCAGTGCAGGGGAGAAGCACATAACTGTGCTGGTTGGCTCTTCCAATTATCTCCATCCTTAGCCGGCTCCTCAGCGATGCTCAGCCAAAGTCATTTTCCTTTCCCATCATTCACCTTGATGACTGTTCCAAACATTTACCATTCTTCTTAACCCTTTCCCCTCTCCCCTCACCTCCTCTCTACCTAAAACTACCTTGTCAGATTTCACCTTCCTGGGACACTGATTTTAGCTCTGAGAGTTTCTGAAATCTCCTGGTGCCTAAGTTTTCTTATTCATTAAACAGACTTCACAATATGGATTCTTCAGTGATATCCATCTTTTAAAGACTGCTACCACTAACTGTTTTGAAACAGTCAAAAAGCAAGTCTTTCGCCAAATAAACAAAGCCCTAGGAAAATATCTGATGGTCTTACATGAGAGGAGGGACATACAATTTTATTCCTGGAGTATTTCTGCACATATTAAAATGAGAAAATGGAATCAAAACACTTTCTAAACTGATAACATTTGTAATATACTGTTGTTACTTTTAATACTGCACAGTACAATATACGCCAACTCTCAGTTTGAAACCCTGGTGCCCATCAATGATTAAACATCAAAATGTACCACAAGAGCATCTGCTATATCAAATTGCATGCCTGATATGCCCCTCTCCTGGGCTGGCCTTGTAGGGTGAATATTTCATTCAAAGCTAGATTCCTATTCTGGTTATTTTGCCTACAGTCCATTGCAAAGGGTAAAAAGGGCCAAGAAAGTCCCCCAGGCAACTAGTGAAGAGGAAAGACATGCATATGTCCGTGTACACATACACATATGTACGTGTCTCTGTAGGTCTGTATTACATGTGCACATATATGTGTGTGTGTAAAGCTAAAACCAAACAGAGAAAGAAAATGCTCTAGAAATGAATGAAAGAAAGAAATCTAGACTTCCTCTGAGCAAATACCCAAAGACAGGCTAGAAACAGTCTTGGGGAAGGATAAAGCGAGGCATCATGTAGATGGATTCTTCTTATCACAATTAGGTATTAACTATGCATCTTCTAGTCCAGATAGGAGGAAATTACAAAGGCTAGTTTTTGGAACTCAAGAAATTAATTTTTCTTGGAACATTGCCCCTCTCCGTTTTTCTAAAAGCATAATAAAGCTACAGCATCTTCAGTTAATAAGGGAATTCCTACTGACAGAAGTCTAGAAATCTTTATGAAGCTGATCTAAGGACACTGCTAACAGGCTAAGAAACAGCATGACATACTGACCACCAGCTTTCCACAGAGTCTTCCTGAGCCTTATTCTTCAAAGCCAGCACAGGATGAACATGAATTCTGCTCTTCTTCATAAGGTGCCTTCCAGAGCTGAATGGATGGGCAATTACACATAATTTGTACTATTTTCTCACAAGGACGGTAACCAGTGACCTCCTCTAAAGAGATTTCCAGCTCACAGATGTGCACGGCAGCAGCAAATTTACTTGGCTATCCTGCTCAAACCATCTCAAAGGAAGAAGATGGGACAGGACTTTCTGGTAACTTCAGAAATTAAACAAGAGCACCACCAAAGTAAAAGAACGGTACTTTCAATCAGCCTTTCAACTGAATGTGGTGATTGCAGTTCTTTCAGATGCGAGATGCCTACAGGTGAGTAAGACCATGGTGGTCATAAAGCGTGAGACCCCGCTTACCTCCCCCACTCTCTGCACCCCACCACCCTCTCACGCTGATGGCACCTGTTGTCACTCTTCCTGCTAACGGTCCCCGGGCCTTGCTCTCCCTCACACTCACAGCCACTGCCCACCACCTCCCAACCCCATGCCCATGTCACCTCCCACCTTGTTTCACATTAAAAGGAAAGTATTATCCTAGTCAATGTTTCAGTGTGAGCACAGTGGGCTCAGGCCTAGGACAGCCAAACATACACGGCCCAAGCTCAGCTGGCCCAATTGGCTGAGATCCTCTTTGCATTTAAATGCGCATTGTTGGCCAAGGGAATAGGGAATCAGACCAAAGTTGACTTCATTCAATATAACTGCTGATAAGATTATTCTTCTACATGATGCCTGGCCAAGCTGCTTTTTGAGATATTTCTAAAAGTGTTACCCTGAATATATACTCACATAACTGTAATTTAATCATTAAAAACAATTTTATTGCACTTTAGAGCATAATTCAGATGCTCCTAACACATCCCTTTTATGAAAATAGCATTCTCTGGGGATTCTAAATACTATTCGATGGGGAGAAAGGAAAGAAATTAGTCCCTTAGGACACATATCACTGAGATTGTCAGCAATATGGCCAACTTGATAGGGATGAGGGTAACTGCCTACTAAGAATGTGGAGCTCACATTCGACTATAATGGCTGAAGAAGCTTTCAGTGAGTCGTGTCTCAAAGAATCAACTTCTTCCACCTGTCAGATATGTCCTTTTCAGAATTGTTTTAAAGCTTTAATAAGAACTTCATCCAAAACTAGTTTGTTAGTGGGGAAGAACGACATAAATGAAAGTCGGCAGGTACAGAAATGGGAGGAAACACCCATGACAGAAGCATGCTTCAGCCTCCCAAGAGTGCACAGTAGTTAAGGAGCAGGGGACCCTGAAGCAATGCACATCTGGCTTCCATTCCTGTATTCATCACTTCCTAGCTGTACATGGGACCTTGGGCAAGGTATCTAAGGCGTCTGGCCTCTCAGAACCTCAGCTTTGCCTAATAATGCCGCCTACCTCACAGAGCTGTGGTAAGGAGCATATGAACTGACCTCATTACAGCAATGCCTGGCACACAATATGCATTCAGTAAAGGGTAGCTAATAATAGTTCAATCAAATAGGTACTAGGGCGAGGATAATAATGGGTCACACTTCCTGAAGAAGTCAATGACCCATTCATTCATTCATCACCAAACCAAACTCACAAAGCAATAGGCACTGAGCAAGACCATGGGGACACAGAGGTAAATAAAACATGGCCCTAAACTTTAAAAGCTCAAAGTCTGATGAAGGAGACAGATGTGTAAACAGATAATTGTCACCAAGAGGACCAGGAATATGGGAGCCTTAGGCTCAGCGTGGGTAGGCTGGAAGAAGCCTGACAGAGAAGCTGGCATCTGATCTGAGTCATGAAGAAATAAGAGAAATGCTACCATCCTTAACTCTCTCCCAGGCTATAGCAGTAGCTTCCCAAATGATGACCCTGTTTCTACCACTGCCCCTTACAATCCACTCTTCACACAGCAACCAAAGTGATTTTTAAAAAGCATGTAAATTAGATAATGTCATTCTCTTGCTTCACATCCTTTAAGAGCGCCCCACTGCAATCAGAACAAAACCCAAGCTCCTTACCAGGCCCTCAAAGACTCTCCGTAATCCATTCCCTGCCTGCCTTTCTGTATCATTTCCACCTACACGGACCTTCCTGCCCCCTGAGCCCACCACGGTCACTGCTTCCTGAGAGCCTTTGCATGACTTTTCCATGGCCCAAAATGCCGTTCCTCATGATCTTCCAAGTTCTTCAAAGAACACTGTCCCAACTTTCTAATCAAAATTACCTTCTTCTTTCCCTAAGTTGCTCTCTAATGCATTACTCTATTTAATTTCTCAATGCATGGTGTTATCTGAAATTATCTTGTATGTACGCTTATTTATCCATTTATAGACTATATCTAGCACAAAAATGTAAGTTCCTTGTCAGCAGAAATTGGGTCTATCTTTTTCACTTGAATGCCTGGCAGACAGTAAGCACCCAAATATTTTTTGAATGAATGAATAACAGAACAGCAGAATGCCCACCCCAAAGGTTAGATGAATGTTCCAATCCACCAAACCCTAGGGGCTAAGTCTGCTTTTTATCATTTGTTTTAGGTGTAGCTCACCCACCCACAAAGTACTGAGTTTAAAATAGTGATTACCTCGAGTAATATCTCCTAACATAATATCCCTCCTCCACTGCTAACACCACATTCTGAATCCAAAGAAGTAGACATTTGTGAGACTAGGTGTTTCCTAGCACCCAGAGACAGGCACCAGATGTCTGAAAGATTAAAAAAAAAAAAAATGTACAGAGGAAGGAAGCAACTTCCTCAGGAAGCCATAGGAGGCCCTGGGCCCTCAGATAGAACATCAGCCATTCACGACTATGACAGAATGACACCATGAGACCAGCACTGCGAAGAAGTCAGCCTACTGCATGGCTGGGGCCGTTAGCCCTGCAAGAGACAATGGAGAACACGAATATGAAACACTAAATGCCTATCACTTCCTCAGTTCATGACTTCTAACTTCACGTCACCCCTTTCCTGTTGGCAAGTGGGAGAACAGCGGCGACCATACAACCATGATCGTCATCTACAGTCTTGAGGGAAGAGCTTGAGATATCAAGGGGGCCAAGCCAATGAGAGGTGACAAACATCTTTATCCAAAGGATTCCATGAACTAAAATGCTGAGGTGACATCCTGCAAAGAAGTTACAAAATCCATTATAGGTAAGGCTCGTAAGTAGAATTTAAAATTAATAATGCAATTATGTAGATCCTACACTGGAATGAAACCAAATGGTTTAACTACGTAAGTGTTATACTGAAATGTGATTTCTGCCATTATTGTTCATCACCAGGGAATAATGGCACCCTGGGACAGGAAATTAGAAACAGTTACTGCCAATAAGGCATGACATCCCAGCCCTTCTTGTACAGATTTCTTCTCACCTAAACTTTAATTTAGGGGCACCTGGGTGGCTCAGTCAGTTAAGCGTCTGCCTTCGGCTCAGGTCGTGATCCCAGGGTCCTGGGATCAAGTCCCTCACTGGACTCCCTGCTCAGTGGGGAGTCCGTTTCTTCCTCTCCTTCTGCTCTTCCTCCCAACTCATGCTTTCTCTCTCATGCTCTCTCTCTTTCAAATAAATAAATAAAATCTTAAAAAATAAAAAAATAAAAAAATAAACTTTCATTCACTCAACATTTCATGAGATGCTACCACTGTGCTAGGCACAAACCAAAATAAATCCCCATGATATATCCCTCAAAGAATTTTCAGTCTAGCAGGGTAGGAAAAAATGTGGAAGCTGTAAAATAAGGCAATCTCAACTAAAGCTTAGAGGATGGCTAGGCAGCCTGTAGACAGAGGTGCCAAGACTCTTTCCTAAAGAAGCTTAACAGTGACCTTGAAGGATAGATGGCACCTTTCAGCAAACAGTAACCACCAGAGGATGAACAGCCTAAGTAAGGGGGTACAGAGAGAAGAACATGTCCTCAGAGAACAACTACCTTATCATCTGGGGAGAGGATGTGGCTGTGCAAGAGCTGGGAAGGATAGCTCTGTCTTCAATTAGACTTTAACTCAAGGACAGAGCACTTTGCTTCTCCCCCCATCCCATATTACCTAAGACCCAATTCTCTACATGTGGTAGGCTCTAATTCATACTTACTAAATAAATAAGACAATTAACCCAGAGAGAAAAAAAATGAAATTGACTCAACTCACTTGGAAGTTGCTGCTGCTATGGATGTTCTTGGTTCTCTTACTCATCTGAGTCATGGTAGAACCGTGCACACTCTTGGTTACAGGTAGAACCTTGTATTACGTCACTGACAATACAGGAGTATGGAGAGAAATTCCATATGGCTGGGAGTGGGTAGGCGTGGCGTGTGTGTGTGTGTGCGCGCGCGCGCCAACGTGCAAATCGGGAAGGCTGGAGAAAGTTGTTGGGCCCAATACCTTGTGAATGTTAGAAAAACGAGAAGACCGATCTAGAAATCAATTATACTGGTGCTGTCATCCCAAATGCAGAGCTAATTCTCTCGTGGTTTAATTCCAGAAAGCTATTGGTACCCAGAAATACAACTGTTTTATATTTTCATTTTTAGAAATACATCCAGTGAATATATAAATATTATTTGTAATTGATGACGATGGTGTTGCAGCATGGTATTGTATAAAAAAAACCATACTGTATCAGGAGTCGAGAGACCTAATTCTGCTCTGTCACTAACTTGATGTAGAACTACAGACAAGAAGCTTGACTTTCCTGAGCCTCCCTACAGGGAGGAGGATGACGAGGAGCACTGAGCCCAGTCTACGGAGGCAGTCACGACCTGATCTGCCCAAGCCCTCTCCACGTGTCCTACACCTCCTCAGAGCCTTACTCTCTGCACTTAAATCGGCTGCTAAACGGGAGATCCTCTTGGCCACTCTTACCAGCCCTTTGGTCAATTGGATCTAAGATACCTTCAGTTTCTAAAATGTCCTCTGGTTCTTTTTTTATGATGTCATCTTTAGGTCTGAGGGCAAAGCCTTGAGAAAAGCATCTTCTTAAATGGATCTAGCAACACCCGGTTTTCAAAGGTCATTTTGAAAGCATTCGTCATTCGCCAAATGTAATTGGCAGTTAAGGATGAGATTATAGGAATCAAACATTTAAAGAACCCAGGGATTGCCAAATCATAGAACATGTATTTTTCTCATATATATTTTATTAGCCACCATAAGTCCCTTACAAATCATATATAAACACTTTTATATATGTATCCAAATGTTTCCATACACACATATGGTCTAAAGATTACTATAAAAGGAGAGCTATTTATGGACCTCAGTCAAAGATCTAAAGCCCACTACTTTAAATGCAGTAGCACCTTAGCTACAAGCTTCAAATTCACAAGTTAGTGTGAATTTCAGCCCTGCATTTTTATCAAGGACATATGTCTAGTAAAGGCACTAACCTTTTGATTCCTACATATCAACATTTAGAGACTTATTTAGACTAATACATGGCTATTCTTCACAGAGTTCTAATGTTCTTCTCTGATGCAGAACTCTGGTTCTCTTTAGTGTTTGTTTTTATAATTCTGCATTATTTTTTAAATATATACTCAGGTATACCCTTATATTCAGACTAATATATATATACCTACAGAATCCTACTGTAAGTAAACATCCAAGAAGACACATACCTAATATGGGCAGGAGAGATAGAGAGGTAGGTCATTCCATTTATAAATGATTATGTTTATAAACCATCAAGGACACTCAATACCTAACCACTATTGACCAAAACCTAACCATTAGAACAGATCCACGTTGAGAGTTTACTGTGCATTTTGCTTTGAGTTGTTTTCCTTCCATTCTAGTCCACCCCTGCCAACAACAGAAACTAGATGACATGACTAGGTGACATCACCTCTCACTACTTGTGATCGGCAAATTAAAGATCTATGATGATTGACACACTCTTCTGTCACCATTACCTAAAAGCCATCACACTAAAAGCAAGATCTGTTTTTGCACAAGTGGGGCAGAAAAGAGAGAGAGAGAGAGAGAGAGAGAGAGAGAGTTGGGAGTCTCACTGCACCAAATGTGAATGATTAGTTTGCAATGCAACACTGAAGTTAATTTTTAAGAAGAAAGGTAGTAAGCAGCTTACTAGAATGTAGTATCAAGAGAAATGCCACATTGGGACCCAGAGCTAAATGTGAATCAGCAGCAAAATCTGTCTGCCTGATGAGCCGCTCATTGACCTGGCCTTATACCCACCCATCAAGGCTTCCTGTTAGCCCTGGGCAATCGTCAAGCACACTTAATGAAATGGTTATCTGTGTAAGACATTTAAGCCCAAATCTGAGACAGTAACACTAATTTCCTAATAGTGAGGGTGTGATGCTCTCCCCTGCACCACCTGGGGCACGGTCCAGAAACTTGTAACAAACATTCTCCCAGAGAGCATAGTCATTACCATCTGCCCATGTGCAGCACAACAGTGCTCCAGAGCGCAGCATCAGCAGCGACTTCCCCCAAAGTTCATCCCAAAGTTACTGCACACTGGAATTTGTTTTTTATTAAACAAAAAAAAAAAGAGAAGAAGGTCCATAAGATCCTTCACGTCTTGATTCCTTCATAATAATAAAGCCATTTCACAGCCCAGGAGTATTGCCGTGAGTCCGTCTCACGCGGCAGCCCCTCACCCCCAGCCTGCCGGAGCATGTGCAGGTGAAACCTAGGAGTCTGTCTTACCTGTAATCTGACTCTGTCCTTGTGGATTAAAAGGACTTGGTGCAGAGTTCAGGGAGGGCCGTGGGTTCTGAGGCGGGACACCTACTCTCATACTGGGATGAGGAATGCGCCCTAAATCACTGAGGCGGTCAGAGAACAAACTAGGTTTAGAGTCATCAAGCTTCTGTCTGTGCCCTGGAAACAGCAAATCATAAAATAAAAGCATATTAATTAGCTGAACAATCGACCATACTAAATAGATATGTGAACATACATACTGGGGGGTTTGAGCCAAGGAATCATCAATACTGATATTTATACTGAAATGTCTCTATAATGCCTTCCATTTCAAGCAGCTTTATAAGCATCATCTGGCGGCAAGCGTTCCTACCCCTCGTCTACAAACGGAGAGCTGAGGGTCCCAGAGGGTGACTCGGAGTCAAGCATCAGTAGCGAGGCCAGGACGCTGGAACTCTGGAGAGACTCTCTGGGTGCCTCCTCTCTCGGTGACAGTGGGAAAGGTGGTTGTGTGCTGGGGTGTGTTTGCTTGTTTCATGAAGGAGGAAACTTCCCCATAGTTCAGAGAGTCTGTGCATGTCACACTTATTATCCCAAAATTGGGGCAGAAACAGAGACAAACACATTTGTCAAAGGGAAATTTCCAAGATGACCATAAGTGACTTTTCTTTTTTTATGTTACAACTACACCTTACTGTGACTCTTTTCTGAAAAATTGAAACTCAAACCTAGAACCCCTTTAAGAGGAAAAAATAGAAATATGGTCAAGGAAACTCAAATTCTCCAGGGGAATCTGGATATTTTGTGAGACCCTGAAACCTAAAAGCATGTGATAAACTATGTTAAATCAGAGCGAATGTTTTTTGATTCTGTATAAGAAATTGAAAAATACCCTTTGGGTTACCATGTGAATGTGAGAATCCATTATTTAAAAACAAAACAAAACAAAAAACCAAAAAAAAAACAACTTTGTCTCTCTTCTAGTTTATTCAAGTCTAAAATCTAAGGACATTCTAGATATTAAAGAAATATGCAAATTAAAATATAACTAAGGTCCTAAGGCTTTTTGAAAATCATGAAAGCATTCTCAGCAAGTCTTGGTGCAAGTATAACAGAAAAACCTCTGAATCTTGGTGCTACATAAGTTAAGTGCACATCTGTGGAGTGGCACAGCGGTGGACAAACATGACAACGCCTCATACATGAGTGGAAATATACTATAGATTCCTTCTTCCATATTCTGTACCAGAATGAGGCCCTAATATGTTACCCCAACATAGTGTAACTGAAACTGAAGCTTATTCAAAGAAGAGCCATTAAGGGGCAACTGGGTGGCTCAGTCGGTTAACTTCCGACTCTTGACTTCATCTCAGGTCATGATCTCAGGGTCATGAGATCAAGCCCCGCATCGGGCTCCGTGCAGGGAAGGGAACCTACTTGAGATTCTCTCCCTCTCCCTCTGCCCCTCCCCCCCCCACATGCTCTCTCTCTCTCTAAAAAAAAAGAAGAGCCATTAAGATGATGACTGGAATCAGAATTTGCCCTCTGAAGAAAAACTGAGGGAATCAGGATTATTATCCATAAAAGGAAAAAAAAAAAAAAAGCCCAGAAGGAGGATTGTTAAGAGCCTTTGAGAATAAAGAGGTATATTCTATGGGTAGTGAGAACACTTCATCTTCCTCTTGGTACAGAACAAGAGGAATCTATGAGGAGAGGGTTAAGGTGAACATTAGAATTTCCCAGCTATAAGCTGTCTTCATAAGACAAATTCCTTATTTTATTTGCCCCAAAATGTATTTTCCTGTCTCCTTTTTCATTGCCTACCCAGCCCAAAGAAAACAGACAGGAAGCCAAGTCTTGGTAATATGAGTGTAGCTGTCTCCGCAGCCAAACATGTTCCAAATAGGCCCATTAACTGAAATGCACCCACCACCCTATTTCCTGCCAGCGTCAGTCCAGGGCATCTGCTGGAACGAGGGATGGGGAGACCAGGAGAAAAAGTGATCAGGGAAAGTCATTGTTTTTTATGCTGCTTTCCCCGTTGTTTAGGACTTCTTATCCGAATTACGAATAGAGTTTAGAACTCAACAGGGCCTTTTTAGAGATGACTCCAACAGCCCCCAGACCCCCAGCAAGCAAGGTGCTCATAGACAAAGCAACTCAGTAAGGCCTGCGGAAGTCAAACAAGGAGACTGTGGTCTTCAGCCATTGGCCAGCTCAGCCTGGACGGCACACGGTTCCCGTCCTAGCTGACCAGCTTCCCACTCATCGTGTGGCACCACCAGAGCTGACGTTCTCGCTCGATCTTCCCTCCCTCTCACGGCTGCCATGGAGGACTAAAAGTCTCCCAGTCGACACACAAAGACACCTAAGAGCTAAGCCCTGTGCGGTGCCAAGGCTGGTTTTCAACGCAAGCAGAAGCAGCCGTGAGGATTCGATTACAAAGTTAATAGCTCCCCCATTACCCCACACAAACTGCCATCAGCGCATCTTGCTGGGTCTAACTAGTTTCACAACTGGGGAATTATATAGCACTTGTCCCAGTCAGATCCATGGATTCTGTTCCTCACACGCATACAAAAAAAAAAAAAAAAAGTATTGGTGTGGTGTTGATATAGCTGTAAACATTAACAAGAGAGCTTATGGAATTGTCCCTGGAAGTTATTTTTTTTAATAGGCCGTATTTTTGGAATGGCAGATTCCCTGAGGGCTAAGGAGAGGGCTACATGATTTTGCATGGCTCCTTTAAACACTGGGACTTTATGTGGGCTCTGGGTCAAAAGTAAACTTCATAAAGCCTTGCCTCTGCTTTCTACAGCCTTTTCCCTGGGTTTTCCTGGAGACCATACGAGATGTGAGCTCAGCATATGGATGGGTGAGTACGCTTTTTACTTCCTCTTAGCCCAAGGCTTCAGGGAAGCCACAGGAGGTTGTAGGCGAGAATAAAGGACCTGAAGCACCACTGCTAAGTACGAAAAATGTAAGAGCAGGTGAAATTTTAAAAGCCTCAGTGATCTTCTGGAAATTACCTTCAAACACAAGCTACCAAGTATCTACAGACACCTAGCATAATTCAAGGAATATCCGTCTGTGGCTGCGTACATACAAACAAAAGTATGCATTTTTCCTTGTAGATGTCGGCCCCTTCATAGCCACCACCACAACCACAACAATATTCTTACAGCACAAGGAAGAACAAAAGCTGAACAGGTTCTTCATCTTTCAACCATGACAAACACCGGCTACCACTAAACCACATCAGGGTTAGCATGCGAATGATGGGCTGAAAGAAGGCGTTCTTTAGTCCTCACACTCAAGAAGGAGTCGCTTCAGAAATCGAGAGCACAGAAGACAAGGGCACATTGAGTTAAATCAAAGATAGGGGACTCTGCCATGGTACAGGGAGAACTGAACGTCAGCCGAAGGGCCGAAGAGTGTGTCTTCCAAACAGGAGGAAGGTATAAAGAATCGGAAACTTTCTCCCTTGGGCAGTGGCTCTTCCACTCCAGCTGGATAAGAAAATCCTCTGGGGAGCTTTGAAAAATATAGATGTCCAGACCCCACATAAGCTCAATTAAATCAGAATCACTGGGAAGTGGGTCCTGGGGAGTTATTTTGTACAAGCTTCGAGCATGATCTGGCGTGTAGCCAAAGCAGAGGATCACTGCCCAAGATGACCTTACAGTCCCACCTACTCGATGTCACCTGTTTGCACCAGTGACACCCTCATTTCTGAAGTAAGCTCTGACCGCTGTCCTGAGTTCCAGGTCTGTAGGTCCCACGGCCTACTGGACTCTCCCCTGGGAAGTCTAAAAGATACCTTAAATGCACTGTATTTAAGACACAATTCTTGACTCTTCCTGCCAAAGAACCCTATTCCTCTCTAGGACTACCCTCACCTCAGTAAGTGGCACCAGCCAAAAACTTAGACATGGAAGCCAAAACTTAGACATCTTCCTTGATTTCCCCTTATCCTTCACTCCTCACATTCAATCTATTACCAAGTCTTGTCATTTCCATCTTGAAAGTATATCTCAAAGCCATTTAGTGCTCTCACTTCTACTGGTACAACCCTAGTCCAGGACCCCATCATCTCTCTCTGGGCATCTGACATGGTCTACTTGCAGTTTCCCATCCCAGAACCTCTCCATACTCCCAAAATGCTCTACCTCCTATTTCTCTGTAGGGCCCCCTCCTTCTCACTCCTGGAACCTCACAGTGAACACCACTTCCTATGAGAGGTCTTGCCTGCCTACTATATACCCAGAGCAGGCTTCCTCCGCCTTGAACACACCCTCCCTTTATATCCTTTATGGCTATTACCACAATCTGTACTTATCTTGTATATTTGTCTCCCCTGCAGGATAGAAGCCCCATGAGGATGAGTGCTCTGTCTTGTTTAAAGTTGTACCCTTACTTAGTGCCTGCCATATAGTAGATGATCAACAAATATTTATTCAATGAATGAACGTTCTCCTCTTCTAGATAAATGTCCTGGTGGAGAGAAAATTTTCTGGCCCAGGATATCATAGTATAATGCTATCTTTCCTCCCCCCCAAAAAAAACCCTTCTTTTATTTGGCTATCTAGTGAATCCAGTGGGCAAAGCCTTTCTTTAGAGACCAGACCTTATTGGTGTTTGCTAAGAAATTTCCCTAAAGGACATTCATTTAAGTGAATGGTTAATTGCTTGCTTGCTTTCTGAAAAAGCCCTCACTTACAATTCTTCAGCACTGTTCAAGTCATTTAGAATCAGAGCACTGAAAGGGACAAAAGAAATCATTCTGACTCTACATTTCAGAGCACTGTACTTCTTTTATGAATAAAGACCCCGAATCCCTGAGCAGAGAAGTGACTTGCCCGAAATCACATAGTTAGTGGCAGGACTAGAACTCAGGGTTTCTGACTGCTGGTCCCAGGCTCTTTTCCTTCCCACTGTCAACCAGCTTATTTTAGAGTATAACACTACAGCACCAGGGGAAATCATGGTCAAAGTGGATTTAAAATGGAAAAAAAAAGTAATTTTCAGAAACAATTTCTTTCAAAAAGTTGAGTGTATTTGGCTGAATATGACTTTTGTTGCAATAAACTCAGGGGCAGGAGAAGAAAGCATGATCCAAAGGTCACAGCATTCACACATCCTTAGAGCAAAGACGCATGAGGAACAGTTAGGTCCCTAAGCAAAAGTGCAGCTGATTGTCCCATCCCTCCCCGCCCAGCTCTGGTAGCGCAAGGGGCCGGCACTCACAGAGGCCAGTTGGGAATGCTGCCATTAGGGTTTCTGCTTAAAAGATCATGCATCTGAAAGGGGTATGTGAAGACCTGGAAACTGTGCTGCGTGAACTGTGAAAACAAACTAGCCTCTCTGATTTTGCCCATTTTTATAAAAGTCTACTGAGAACTGCATAACAACAGTGGAAAGCAGTGTGGGCCCCTGGCCAGACTGTCATACTCTATGCCCTGTACTCACAGCGTGCAGTACATCAGCTATTTTTCCCCCAAAGGGAAAGACGGACTCCTGAAGGATGCCCAAAAGCCCCTTCAGAAGAGTGCACCTTCCAAAAACAAGGCAACTTCGCCAAGAGGGCACCACCACGTCATGGCAGGCCTGCTCTCATGTGGCGCAGGAAGGTCAATTCGTGGATCACTAGGGCATGATGTATGGCAGCTCGCCTTTTTAACATCAATATTCTAAATCGATTTTAAGTGCTCCCTTCTCTTACTGGGTATCTACTTCCATCCTGGGTATCATGATAATACCATTTTCAAATAAAATAAATAAAGCAAAAAGGCAGATCTGCAAGGGACCCTCAATCAGGAACCAGTACGACGTCCGCGTCCGTATCGGTTAGTCCAGCTAGCGTGTGTGTGTGTGCGCAGGGCATCTGCCCACAGGCGAGTCTCCCCAGGCATCGCAAGGAGGAGGAGAGAGACATTCTTCAAGATAATGCCCTTGTCCTCCAGCTGTTCACAGTTTGAGAGGAAAGAAAGACGTGCCATTAAGTGTAACTGAAGAAGGCTGTGATGAGGGCAATGACTAAAATGCTTCGGTTTGGGGATCAATTGAGGAAATATGAATAGACTATTTTACAATATTAAGGAAGTGGTGCGTTTTGCGATTACGTAAGAATATACCCTTATTGTTTAGAAGAGCCAACCAATATATTCGGGGATAAGTGTCATGATGTTTGGTATTTGCTTTAAAACCTTTCAGCAAAATATTAGACGAAGCAAATATGGCAAAATGTTATTAAATAAGGTGATGGGTATATGGGATTTTATTAAATATAACCTCTTTTCGTGTGTTTGAAGTTTTTCATAATAAAAGAAAAACTGAAAAAGAAAACCAATAAACTGCTCTGGGAAGAAAAGGAAAGCAACTGATATTTGACTGAAAGGAAAGAGGAAGTTCCCACTGATGAGATCATCATGTCCTAGAAGGTCGAGTAGGATTTTGATAAGCAGAGAAGAAAGGAGGAAAGCTAGCTGGAGGACAAATGACAGAAACATGATAAGAAGGGTCTTGTGAGACAAGATAAGTGTTGAGCACGTATGGGATGCGAATCTCAACACAGAAGCGCGCTATACTTCAAATCACTTGATGCCTCTAGTTTCTCAACCACACAGTAGTTCTTTTAAACTCTGCAATCAATATGGGAACCTGCCCTTTTAAGACAGATCTTTTGATCCCCTGACTAATGAAACGATCCTTTGGCAGCCCAGCAGCCTCCTCTGTCGGGCACTCAGGCTTCCCCGGAGGACGGGGTGATCTCCAGAGATAGTAGCTAAGTTTGCTGTCAAGCAAGTATGCGAGAGGAGACCTGGTCCAGTACTTGAGGGCTCAAGACCCAGGATATTCAGAACATTCAGATGTTCTGACAATGATCCTTGGAGTAAAAAAGCAAGAGTTGCCATTTTTCAGAGTAAACTGGATATACAGCAACGAAGCTGCTACTCCACAGCAGGTCTGGAAAAACAACAAAAATGGAGCCTTGGTTCCAATCTCTCTACCCTGAAAGTGACACATGAAGGAGCGTTTGCAGGGAGGGGCCCAGGAACAGGCCGACGAATTTTAAAGTCCTAATTCTATTCCAAACGAAATTACTTAGAATTCTACTACTAAGGATGAGCCTTAGTTCATCTCAGAGAGTTCGGTTTAGATGGTTTGCAGCAAAAGCAACGTAACAGGGTCGAGATTACACAGACTCAAGGGAGTTCTTAGGGGAGCCACGCAAAGTTGGGACCCAAATACCTTGTAACTCTGAGGCTCCAGATGGAAAACCCTGATTTTCTGCATTCCTATGTACAGGTGAAAATGGAAATACTACTAAGAAAAGTGAAACTCCTGTCTACATTCAGATGACTACAATTCACTGGTGGTTTGTGAAAATCTAAAAAGCAAAGACCTATACTCTTGCAATGCTTGTAATGTTTAGTTAAGCCCTTTGCCTCCCCCGACACACCCACGCCCCCACTACAAACAGTCCCAGCCAGCTTCTCCTCGAATTTCCTTATTTCCCTTAATATCACCATTTTCTAGTCTCCGAGGCTCAAAATCTGGCCCAGGTATACCTTTGCCACCTCCCTTTCCTGGACCCCAGCATCCAGGTAAGGCCATTCCTAATTTCTGCAGGGAGGGGCCCTGACTTTCCAGTCCCACCAGAATCACTCCTAACGGCTCACTTGTGTCTAATCCACCGGAGAAGCAGCCTGGAGTAAACGAAAGGACACCAGCGAGTTGTATGGCCAACCGCAGGAAGGGATTTAATGGAACTCTCTGGGCCTGCCGAAAATGAAGGGTTCATTTCTAAAGTCTTTTCAGTCCCTAAATCCTTACATGACTCACCTGCTCAAAACCTCTCAACTGTCTAACACTGTCTTTTGAATTAAACAGAGCTCCCTGAGCCCAGCAGGGAAAAGAGAGACTTGGAAAGACCTGGAAAATAAGGTCTGAATGTACGTTGTCAACTCTCATTTTGGATGGCTACAACTGTACCGCTCCCCACCAATGCTCTACTCACACTGGGCTATCCATGGTTCCTCATAGAGCCCCCGTGCCTTTGCACAAGCTGTCTTCCCCCACTTAGAATACCCTTGCCCCATCATCTCCATTTGGCCATCACACCTTTCTGGTCTTTTCTGTCTCTAGAGCCTCCATGATCCCTCTGGTTTCCACCTCAGCAAGCTGAAAGCATCTACAACTGTTTTTTGTCTACTACATGTGGATATACTTAGGTGTAGTAGGCATTCAGTAAGCATTAACTGACTCTGAATTGATATAAAATATTTATACAAAATTTCAAACCGTATTATCTTAGATTCTCCTGGACTTGACTAGGAACCCCTTGAGGATGGGTGTCATGTCTCATGTCTAGCACCTAACTCGGAGCCTAGGTACAAAGAAGGCCCACAACAAATGTTTACTGAATTAAAAAATAAGAACACTGATAAATTTAGAATTATCTCTCCTTTTATCCAGCAAAAGAAAGGAGAAGAAAATGAAAAAAAAAAAAAAAAAAAGAGCGCTAGTCATTGGGAAACATTTCCCACAGTAAAATTGATGAGTCTATAATCTTTGCTGGGAAAGGCTGCTGAGTCATCTTTTTTCCTGAGTATGCTGTCTGGTTCAGGTCAAAAACTATTTCTGGACTAGAACAGTAAAGTGGACTAAGAAATTGCCTGCATGCTTCAGAAACCTCTAGGCCCTCTGAGCCACTAGAAGTCAGCAGCCATGCAACAGGTCATGTGCACGGGGCCCCAGCGCTCACAAAAGATAGCTCATGAGAGGAGACAGCTCTAGAGCCATGTTAGTGTGTGGCTTCAGACAGAGGACCACAGATCATAAACAAATCTCCTTCCAGGAGATTCTTCTCTGATGGCATTTCAAAAATGAACTAACAGAGCTTCTCTCTAAGGGCCCTTCTTAACATATAAACCAATTTCTAAAGGAAAAAAAATCATAATCACTTCCACATAGCTTCAAGAGCCCCCTTTCAGCCCTTGAACAGAGTCAGGCATGTAGCATTCAAAGTTTATCAAGGAAGAAGAGAGGAAGAACAATTTCACCCAAGAGACGACTGAAGCCTTCCAGTCTCTTGGGTAAAAACATAATTATGGGAAGAAAAAACATAATCTACTCAAGAGACATAATTACATAGTTAAGCCATAGACTCCATAGAAATATTCTAGGAACTCCAGTTCATAGAAAAAAATGTTAAAAACTGAATTTGCTTTCTTTTAATAATGAAAGGCGCCAGTTTAGATCAGTGAGTAAAAAGTTCACTCTCCCAAACTCATTTTTTAAACGCAATTGGATGCATGAGAGAGATCACTGAAAGACAGCCTCTTCCAAAATCTAGGCTTCTAAAGACTCAAGAATTCAAGACCTTTCAATAAATATACTAATGAAAGAATTGTGAAATATTAACATACATGTATAGTAACTGCGAGTTCCTTTATAACTTTTGGATTTCAGGCTGTGGCAAATCACAACCATCAAAGACTTAAGGGGCGATCAGGCTATGCCAGTATCAGTCACACATCAGGGAATAGCTTCTAAAAAACATATGCTTAGAGTGTAATCCTTTTTCTTGAAATAATGGACTCAAAAACTTGAGACATCTAAAGAAAAAGAAACTCACGGGAGGCAAGAAGAAAATAAAAGGCTTAAAAAAAATTTAAAGAAAGACCAGATGAAAGTATAATGGAAACACACAAGGGGAGACGTAATACTTTTTGCAAGCAGGGGGAAGAAAGAGCTCCCAGAGAACCTGGCTGACTTCACCGTAGCCCC